TTTTAAAAGGAAGCCAGCAAATAAAAAACATCCCTGTGCTGAACAAAAGAAAAAAAAAAAAAAACTTCTGTATCTTATGATGTTTTGACATCTTGAAGAAACTTACAGACTTCGGGAGAAACCTCTCAGGGCTAGCCAGTTCCTAAAGATAGTCACCAACCCACTCTGGAGTGTGCCTCTCGTGCGCAATCGAACCTCCTCCTTTATCTAATTCTTACACATCAAGCCAGTATTTCCTCTGCCCTAAATCAATCCGGGTCCACATACCAGATGGCTAGGAGCAGGCGTTGTGCCCCAACACTTGTCGTAATTATCCAAAGCAGCCCCTCCTTAGCCTGTCACTGTCATTGCCTTGTCTTTCTCTTGCATATCCCAGTAAAGGCTGTCTGTAGCCCGGGCTCTCTGCTTCCTGATCAAAAGGAGCTTCCACCTGCAGCCCTGCGTGGCAGGACACACCCTCTTCTCTTTGGAAATCTAAGTCATAAAAATATTTCTGTGCATAGCCCTTGTCTGGGCCAATGCTCAGTTATCTCTGTAAATTAAAATCTCTCGGGTACAGATTACACACATGCCTCTCTCTAAAATGCTACTGCCACAAGCTAGCTGCCTAGACAGCATCCCTAGGGGGAAAAAAACCATCCTACCCAGGTGACATTTGTACATGGTATTTGTTCCCGAGGAACAGGAGGCCCGGGCCGTGCCCTTGTGTGTTTCCTAGTGTCCACAGTGTTCATACTCACAGTCCCTTTGGTGCCACCGAACCGTGTGCAGGTAGACCCCACAGTAGTGGAAGAGGAACTCGTGGTCTGAGTGGGACGCCCTCCCTTCCAGCAGGGGCATGAGGTTCCGGCCGTCAATCACCCTTGGGACAGAAAGGGGTGTGCAGAAAAAGCAGTGAGACATGCACAGCTCAGTCACATTATTTTTTAAGACAGAATCTCGCTCTGTTGCCCTGGCTAGAGTGCCATGGCATCAGCCTGGCTCACAGCAACCTCGAACTCCTGACCTCAAGTGATCCTCCTACCTCAGCCTCCTGAGTAGCTGGGACTGCATGTGTGCACCACCACGCCAGGTAACTTTTTCTATTTTTAGTTGCCTGGCTAATTTCTTTCTATTTTTTTAGTAGAAACAGGGTCTTGCTCTTGCTCAGGCTGGCCTCGAACTCCTGGCCTCAAGCGATCCTCCCACCTCGGCCTCCCAGAGTGCTGGGATTACAGGTGTCAGCCACCTGGCCCAGCCATCTGTCACATGTTTCACGACAGAATAAGGAGGGAGGAAAAGAAGAGAAGGAAGAACAAATTTTTTAAAACTTATGACACATTTTCACTTTTTATGACAAAAAAATAAAAAGAAATAAAACCTTTGCCCCACCCGAGTGAGAGCTTCAAGCGTGTCCATCCCCTAGACGGTGCCCACCACACCCATTAGGTGTGAATATACCCATCCCCTCCTCCCCACTCCCACCTGTCCAACACCCGATGAATGTCATTACTGTATGTGCACTTAAGTGTTGATCAGTTAGTACCAACTTGATGGTGAATATACATTCTTTTGATTTAAATAAAACTTCACAGTGATGAATAGAAACCACCCCCCAACACACACACACACACACACACACACACACACACACACACACGGGATTAAACCCATAAAGTGTGCAATGAATTTGTTCACTTCAAAGCTCACAGAGAAAGTGCGAAAGAGAAGTGATAGCTTCATTAGTCACATCCCCTTACACATATGTGTTTTTATTTGTTAATTCACTTAACACATATTTGCTTAACAGTCTAGAAGCTGTGAGAAATAAAACAGGATGAGGTCCCACCCACAAGAAAAGCGAAACCTTTGTGTGCGTAACAGTAACACAAAGGAGAATGTTCAGATGTATTCTAAGAAGAAAACAAACAAAATATCCCGCCCTGCACCAAGGGGACAAAGACATCTGGCCCTCAGGGTGAAATATTGACCAGTTATCTAGGACAGTTATGTAGTATATCCAGCTACACCCAAATATCTCTCCTTAGCTTAGGAACGAGCGCCGTTTCCATACCTGTCCTGGGGCAGGATCCCTCCTCCGATGTAGGACAGCGTCGGGTAGATGTCCATGAGGCTGGTGGGCTCATCCACCACGAGCCCGGGCTCCAGCACTGTCGGCCACCGGAGTATTCCGGGCACCCGGATGCCTCCGTCCCATCCTCCCATTCCTTTGCCGCCTAAAAGCAAAGACGACAACGAAAGATGACTCAAACCCAACCATGTCCGCTGCCTTGGAGAGTCTACCAAGACGCAAGTTTTCGTGAGCTGGCGGCAGACCTGCCAGGGAGCTGCAGGTTCACAGACAGATAGAAAGTAGCCACGAGATATCATTCCTGACTTGCAGAAGTTCAAACACTGTTGCGAACCTTTAAGTCGACAAGCGACACATTCAATAATAATAAATAAAAATAAGTGCTGCCATAAGATAGTATATATTATGTACCATGAATGCCATGGATTTCCCATACTTTGGGGAGAGGGTATTTGGGAAGCAGGAAACTCTTCGGTTCTTATCAGAACTAGATTGGGCTCGAAAGCACACAAAAGGCTTGTCTGAGGTCCAAAGACAGACTTTCTAAATTGTCTTTAGTATGCAAGTTATCCAGGAAAAATTATTTTGCAGGGAGCCTGAAAACAGTTTCCCACACAAAGCAGTTGTTTCTATGAGCATAGGAAGGTTAATTTGTTTTCGATGTTTAAATTGTCCATGGTAATAAGTTGTGGTTTAAGCTTTCTTTAAAGAAATCAGTTTCTTTCAATGCAGGTTTTATCCGGGTTATGGTGACTTCCCATAGAGAGGCGGTGAGAAGAAACTGTGAACAGCGAAATTGTCTACAGACAAAAAAACTGCAGACAATTGCGTCTTAGACAAAGGTTCCCTTCCTTGGGTGTGTCTGAGCACAGATGTGGCCGGGTGACCGTTCCAATCCTGAGATTCAACCATTTGTTGCAGAATAAAAAACATGGCCCTGTGCCAAATGACGCAGTCAACATCACATAGACTCTTTAAGAAAAAAACATGAGCCTCTCTACGATGGAAAAATCTCCTCCTACATGAAATGATAGTTGGGTGCATCTTGTGTGCGTCTCTTTCTGACAGGTGGTCTGAATTACAGAGAAAACACAAGACAGCGTCTCTCTTGCTAAACATGATGCAAAATTATCTGCGGAAACATTCACTGGTCTAAGCAGTGTCCAAAGCCAGGTCCTCAGTGCTGTTCTTTATTGTAACGAAAATTTGAAAATTTCCCCGAACCAAATTTATGTGGTTGTTGTTGTTTCTAAACTTGACAAGCAAGAAACGACCGTAAAGCCACCCGACGTTTTCTCCGGCTTACGGAAGCACCTATGTCTTTGTGAGTCACAATGACAACAGTGAGTTGTCCACACAGGACATTTAATAAATGTGTCTGTGCAATGTATCCGTTGTCTCTGTGAAGCTAAGAGCTGGTAACGCCTGCTCACGACAGTTTTGCCAATCCTTTTGTGGGTTTGTGGGCACGTTTTAGGATGTGGGCTTCACACAGACACAAACCCACTCACAAGCAATTATCAACATGATTATAACACGATGTAGTATTCACATCCATTATCATCATCACAAGTATCATCATAATCATGTATCATTTGATG